TTTTTTCTCGATTGATTTTCGCTCCCGTTTTTTGTTTGTTGTTGTTGCAATCCACTTTCTTTATTTTCTAAAAAAAACGAAAGCAATTGAATAATAATAATAATAATAATTTTATTTTTCAAAAGAACCTCTAGAACTAGTATTTTACACTAGAGGTTATATATCTAAGCAGGAAAGCAATTGAATGAAATGAAAACTTTAATTATTTTCCTTTTATTATGAATATTGCTTTTTGGATTTGATGATGTTCAATGATAATGATCAATCATTATGGATGGAATTTTTTTTCGGTTTACCAATTAACCAAACAAACAAACAGACAAGAAAAATGTTGTTAATTTACCTATCCATCAACATGATGATGATGATGATGAATATTGCCAAATTACCAAATTAATCAATCGTTTTGAATAAATGCAAAAAAATCAAAATAATAAAACAACAGCCAGAAGCAACCTGACAAATCTCTTGTTTTCTTAATCATTGACTATCTTTCGATAAAGAGGGGGTTAAAAATGATTCTTTGTAACAATATTTGTCAAATAAATATCAATTAATCCTATAAATGTAATTTGAATCATATGAATTTGTTTGAAATGGTTAGATGTCTTTGATACTTTTTTTCCACGCCTCTCACTTTCAAAAAAACACACACACACACATATTCATTTGTGTTTGCCGCCTTTTTTTCAGATAAATTTTTTTGGGAATGAAAAAATCTGTTTTAAAAACACGCGTTTTTTGTTTATCGACTATAAATACATCTATTTTTCATTATTATTATTATTATTGACATAATGAAAAAAATAAACCTTGAATAACTATACTTTTTACTTTTTTGATTGTTTCATTTTCACATTTTTTTTCATTATTACTCGATTTATAGATTCAAATATTGATAGTTTTTGATTTTTGCTGTTGTTGTTGTTAATGTATTTCGCGTATCTAGAGATTAATTGTAATCATATAAGATTGATCTATATATCAATCGATTGATAGATTGTTTTTTATCATTATAATTCACTATTGCTCTCTATTTTCGGTATAGAGAAATCAATGTATTTTAATAACAATTAATAATAAACATGGCCATCATGATTACTTACACACACACACTGATTATTAATTGATTGGATCACAATTTCTAACTAACAACAAACAACAACAACAGAAAAATGATGCGAAACAAAATATTTTTGAACACACAGAAAAAAAGCTACTGTTCAATTGTGAATAATGAAACAAAAAAGAATCCCTTCCACAATTTGTAATTAATATTTGGAAAACAAAATGAGTTGATGAACGATCAAGTAGGGAAAAAAATGGAAAATTATGATAATCATCATTAACATTAATGAATTTGTTGTATGTAAATGTTATTACATTGAGTGTGTTATACTTGTGGCAATACTTGAATGTGATTTGATTACACACATCAATCACTTATTAACAGAAAAGGATTTTTTTTTAATTCATTTGATTATAATCAAGTTAATAACCGAATTTTTTGTTAAAACGAATAAATTCAGATCATTATCAGAGAAAGCAAATTATTGTTGATCAATAAGAATGAAAAAAATTATTGATTTGAAAATTTGTTTTTTCCCCTTTCTTCACACATTCAAAAACAAAACAAAAATTTCCATTCAAGAATCAAGGTTTTTTTCCCTGTATGATTATGGTGTAGACAACAACATGTATGAAATCGATAAAATTAATTTTTTTGATTTTTAATCAACGCTTTAATTTGAAACAAAATTTTTTTTTTTGTTTTCAACAACGTTGCTTGAGGATGTTTGTCTGTTTGTGTGTGTGGTTGTGAGATAATTTTCAATTTATACGGCTCATTTCAAATTCGTTTCGTATATTATTGATGTTTTTTTTAAAAAAAAACTTAAATTCTTTTCACTCAATCAAAACAAGCGAAAAAAAACAACTATATCATTTGTGAATCAATTACTCAAGTGATATGAGGAATTTGTTTGTTGAAAATTTCATGTTATTTTAAAATTCAAATACAAATTTTTTTTTAACGCCTCTGATGTATCCAATAAGATTTATCGATAACTCTTTTCTTTTTCCTCGGACGTTTACAACAAACGTTTTACCATCTATCCGATCTGTTTGATCCGTTCTGGCCAGAAAAAATAAAGGATAGTCGCATTACATATTTTTGCTGTTGATCTCCGTATCCGTTATATTTTTTCTTCACAAAGAAAAAAAATTGCTCTCAAAATCAACAAACAGACAGAAAATCATCATCATCATTATAGTTGATTGATTGAATGATTGGCGTCGGTGATGATCAAGATGATGATGATGTGAATGATAAAGTACCTGAATAGATTACAAAAAATATATATTCACAGATAAAAAGATTTTTCGCATTCATTTTTTATTTATCAATCCGATTGATAAATATTCCACTCTCTTTTCTTCCAAAAAAAGCAAATTTATTAACATTGTAAACATTTGGATTTTTTTGGTTGGAAAAATGAAATGGCGACAACAATTTGATAATGATCATAATTCATATTAATCGATTGTATAAATTATAATTTTTTGAATCGGAAAAAAACCGATCAAAATAACCAAGAAAACAGTGAGAGAGATAACGATATTAAATAAGATAAATGAAAAACCGTTATATTAATGCGATTTTTCTGTTTATTGTTAGTGTTTAGGAAAAGAGATTTTCAAATCCAAACAATCTGACCATCAAAAGATGACTAAAGCTCAATTCAAATCAAATAACTTTTTGAATAGATTCAATTTCAATCAAAATTAATCGAAATTTTTATGTTTAAAGATTAAAATACGTTATTGATCATCACTTAATCCATTGCATAATGGCAAATGATGAAAAGAAAAATTAAAATTTTGTTGTTGTTGTTGAAGATCATATCTGTTGAACAACATGTGTTAATTTTTTCTGTTATTTGAATGATGATCAAAGAGAATATTTTCGAAAAAAATCGATGATATTATATCGATGATATTGTTGTTGTTGTTAAACCAATTTTCAAATTGATTGATCGATAAAATCGATTATGAATTGAATTGATTGTGCAAAAAAATCATCATTTAAAAATCTTTTAAATCCATCAAATAACTTAAGTTTGTTTTGTTATTTATTTGGTTTAAGTTTTTTTTTAAAAAAAATTTCGTTTTCAATCATCAATGTCTGTACATATGTATGCATGTATGTATGTAGATGTCAAATGAAACCTACGTTATTGTATATTCATCCCTATTGATCATCAGAAAAAACAACAAAATAGTTTTTCATATGCAAAAAAATACATTATGCAGATTCTTGTTGTTTGTTTCGATCAAAGCTAATCATAATTATTTGAAGACAACACAATACGGGCAAAATGAAACAAAAAACATGAAACAAAAATTCGGGAAAAAAATTTTCCATTCATTTATGTCTATCGGTTTGTGTGTTTGTTTGTGTATATGTGATATCCATTCAACTTTGAATATGATGATTGATGATTGACGTCATTGACCTTATTGGGATTATTACAATTTTATTTTTCCTGATATTAAAATTTTTGGTACAAACACACAAACACACAAGATTTGATCCATTTGAAACATTTAACGGATGATCCAAATTAATTGCCCCATTCAGAATGTCCTGGTCAGTTGTTGTTGTTGTTTTTGTTTTTCATCTTTTTCTTTTTATCTTTCTTTTTTCTGTTTGTTTTTCATTTATTCAAAAAAAAAAAAAATCATGTATAGATTGATTGCGTGTTTGAAATTTTCAAGAGAAAATGAAATGAATAAAAATATGAATATTTTTTTTATGATAAAAATCAATAAAATCAATAATAACTTGATTCATTGACATAATACAAAAATGATGATGATGATGAAATTTGAATTTATGATTTAGTTTTAAAAGGACCAAACACAAATACAGGATTTAATATCATTAATATGTTATGTAAAAATGGAAAAAACACACACACACACACACACACACACACACACACGAAAAATTCGGGTATTTTCCATTCAAAATTCAAAACCATTCAATTCAATTTCATTCATACAAACAAACAAACAAACAAATAGGAGACATCATCATCATCTTATAGCGAATGGAAAAATATTTCTTTTTTTTTCTTAAACAGAAACAGAGAAAAAAAAACAAAATCCTACTTTACAAGAGGATTATGTCTTTTTTTTATTTTTATTTCAGTCTTCTGTGTGTGTGTAAATGTGTGATAATTATTATGAAATAAACCAATAAACCATTTCTTCAAAATAAAATAAATGATGTGATTAATGTAGAACATCAATCGATTTGATCTTTTTTTTTCTTCTTTCCACTATTCTTTATTACAAAAAGGTGATGCTTATTGTTTGTGTGTGTGTTTTTTGTTTCAGTTTAGGCTAAATTCAAAATCTAGATGCCTGTTGGTCGGTGTGTGTGTGTCTATATAGATTTGAAAAACAGACAGATGATAATTTGACAAAAAATAAGGCGTACATTGGTCAAATGGATGAGAATGTGTGTGTGTGTGTTTGAAGACAATCAAGTGAAAAAAAGAATTTTTTTTCGTTTCATTTTCGTTTCTGATTTCGATTTCAATTGATTGATTGATTTTGGCATCATTTATGATTATCATTATATATATTTTTTTTTAATCAAAATCAAATCAGTAAATGCGAGTGAGAGAGAGAAATTGAATTTTTTTCCAGGTCAAATTCAATGATAATGAAATTTTTTTGTTGTTTAACATTCAAACAAAAACGAAAGAGTGTAGGCTTTTGTCGTTGCTGTTTGTCTTTGCTTTATAATGATTGAAATCAATCAATCAATTAAAACAAAAAAACGAAAAATTCATATTCTCAAACGAAAATAAAATAAACTTTGTATACATAAGGGTTAAAACAATTGAATTGATATTTGATATTCATTAACATAAAATATTTATCATTCATTGAAATTCATTCATTTGATAGAATCGGATGGGGACACTTACATCATGATATTCGGCCATTTCCTGTTGTTGTTCTTGTTGATGATGATGATGATCATGATGATGATGATGGTCATGATGATGATGATGATGGTGATGATGATATCCATTTGAATGTTGTTCGTGTTGTTGTTGTTGCTGTTGCTGCTGTGAATGATATGCCGTATGATTCAATTGTTTAGTTGACATTGATGGATAATTAGTAATATTATCGTAATTTGAATTGGATATCGATGATGATGCTGATGATGATGACGATGATGATTCATAAATGAATTCATTTTCACATTCTGAAATTGATGATTGTGGTGTAGTTGATTGCGGTGGTTGAGTTATTGATGGTGGTGGTGGTTGTGGTGATAATGATTGCGGAGGTTGGGGTGGCGGTGGTTGTAAAGTAGTTGTAGCCGATCCAGCTACCGATGATGTTGATGTTGCCATCGTATTCGGATCTTGATGATGATGATAATAATAAGCATTTGCTGGTGTTGAATGTTGATGTTGATGTCGATGATGAAGAAGATGATATCTACCGTTTAAATGTTGTTGATGAATATCTGTTGATGATGGTGTTGTTGCTGTAGGTACTGGTAGAATTTGATTACTACCATTGTTTGTAATCATAAATGGATGCGGTCGTGTTGGTTGATGAATATGATGTTGTTGTTGTTGTTGTTGCTGCTGTTGATATTCCATATCCATTTTTATCGATGATGTTTGATTGTGATGATGATTTTCATTTGTCAATAATAATGATGATATCGGTTCATTTGATTGATTAATAATATTATTATTTTCGATCAATAAACATTGATCATATTCACTTTGTTGTTGATGATGATAATCGTTTGGATTGTTGTTGGTCATTAAACATTTATTATTTATCATTGTAATTGTATATAATTCATATGTTATTTAATAATTAAATCGATCATAATCATGGCTAATATGATTAATGTCACTGTTATACACTTTTTGTGTCTTTGAATTCACTTATGAAGAATGAAACTTTTACACAAAAAATTCTTAGTTTATATATGTGGTCAAATGAATCAATTTATATTTTTGTTTACAATTATTTTGGATATTTATCTTTCAAAGTCACAAAATTATTATTTTGAGAATATTCACGACACACACACACAAAAACACATTTACAATCAACGGAAATCAGAACAGAATTCAAAAAAGAAGAACGAAAAAAATTGTTTGCGTGACCATCAATGTGATGAATGGTCAATGATCAAATGAAAAAATTGTTAATGTTGATGATGATGATCATATAATGTACATTTAAGATTTTCCGATTGAAAAATGAAACAAATGAAACAATAATAACACAAATCACATACACACACATTTACAAACTGATTTATGTTTCAGAGAGAAAGAAAATTCTTATTACATAATCACGAATGAAAAGAATCGACAGAAAAAAAAATCAATAATTTTCTTTGTTTTGAAAATTCACATTTAAAAAACAAATGTATCGGTCAAACAAAAAATTGATTTTAGGTGGAAGAGAATAGCCAAAAACGAAAAATTCTATCAAATTGTATTCAGTTGATTGTCAATGTATGAATTTTTTTTTTTGTTTCAAAATAATCAACTACTTTGTCGCAACATACACACTAAACGTTGATCATTCATTAATAAATGAATTGATAAATGATATAGTGTGATTATATTCAATGAAAATTTCAAATGAAAGTTTTTTTTATCCATTGTCAGTTATAATACGGTTGAGTGTTTTTTTTTCTTTCGATTGAGTATCTCAGTATGTGTGTTTCACTTCTTCTTCTTCTTCTTCTTCTGGATCTATGTCTCTTTATTAGATTCGATGATCATATCGAATATCTCTCACTCATTCACTCGCTCTCTTTCTATCCATTTTTTTTTTGTATTTCTCATTTTTATTTTTCCCTTATTAAATTCATTTGATGAACATTTCTCTTTTTCATTCAAATATATCTTTTTTTTTGTTCCCCATTTATATCTATTATCATACACAGGTAAAAAAACATTCTCTCTCTCTCTCTCTCTCTACCTTTCTGGCTTTCTGGTCATCATTGCATTTTTTTCCCTTCGATTTGACGCTGTTGAAACTGTTCAATATTATTCAGTAGATTCAGTTATAATTTAATGAATGTGTGTTTAGTAGATTTACTTTGTTTTTAAATGAAAATGAAAATTTTCACACTATACCCACACACACACACACGAACAAACACATATGAATTGCACCAAATATTGTTGATGAACAACACATAATAATAATAAGATAAAAAACATTATATCTATCGGAGATCATTGAGAGAGAGAGAGAATGGTTGAAAAAAATAGACAGTAAAGGAAAGATTGTCATCAATACATTTGGTTTCATTTTTGGGGATAGGTTTTTTTTTTGTTTTTGGTCAGTTTTTTACCGAATATCATGCAATATTTTTCGCCATTTATTTTAATAATAATATAATGGTCAGTTTTTCCGATGAACTTTTTCATATCTTTTTTCATAATCAATTTTTTTTGTTGATTAATAAAATGATAATAATTTTCTTAATAGAAAATATCTAATAATCTTTGTTTATCAGGCAAAGAATCTAATCAATATGATTGATCTTGAAATTTGTAACAAAAAAATTGTATTGAATATTTGAAAATTGCTTGATCTAAAATGAAATTATTTTAGTTTGTAATCGAATTGTAATTTTGAAAATTTTAAATTTTATTCATTTTGAATGCCAACAAAGAAAAAAAATTTTTTCATTTATAAAATTATTCAACCGAAAAAAGAAACTGATGATAAAGTAGATTACGAAAACGAAGAGAAAATATTTTTAAGTTTGATTCAAATCAAACAAGAAAGAAATAAAGATTATTCATCAAAAGATTAAAGTTCATAATAATAATATATCGAGAATATTCTGAATCAACAACAAAAACTGATGAAAAGAAGACCGATTAAACATAAGATTTTTTTCTTTTTTCTTTTTGGTTCCAAAACAAACACACACACACACATTATACTTATTAGAACACGCACATAGATTTTTTCCTCTAAACACCATTTTGTTTACCTTGAAAAGAATACTTTTGTCATGCAATGAAAGAAAAAAAAAGAATGAATGAAATTGCGGGAAAAATAAAAACCTGAAAATTGATAACAAACATTAATGAATGTTTTCCTAAACATACAACATACACAAACATAAACAAACAAAATACAAGTCATGATTCCAAATTTAACCAATAATAATGCCCACTAGGTTTTATTAGGTTTGTTTTTTTTGTTCATCTTCCATGTCTTATAAAATATTCTACCGTATCAAGGTAAACTGATCAACTGATGATGATGGTGATGATGATGAAATAAAAAACATTCAACACCAGTTAATTACATTACATTTTGTTTTGTTTTGTTTTGTTTTGTTGTTATTGTCAAATGATGAGAATCAAACATGAATGACAGAATCTTTAAGCAAATCAAATGTATTTTTTCTTCTTTTTCAATTTTGTTTCTTTCTTTCTCGCTTTTTTCCTTGTTTGTTGTTTGATTTAGACAATTTCTTATTTCGACAATTATTGCGTGTCAGTTAAATATTTTGTTATTTATTTCAACGAATCTTTGCGTTCTCGGTGTTCTGATTCCCGATTCTCTTCAAACAGTGAATATTCGTGTCTTTCTCTCTCTCTAGCTCTTTCGCTGTGTTTGTTTGTTTATAAATCATGATCTCGTTTTCTTCAATTAAGTTTTTCAAGTCAATAATTTTTTTTTTGTATTTACCATTTTAAGTAAAGAGAGGGGGAATAATAACAACAACAACAACAACAAATCTTTTATTTAATTATGAATGAATAAAGAGAATTTTGTTCTTTTTTTTGTTGTTTCTTATGAATCTCTTGTTTGTCAAATCTTTTTTTTTTGTTTTTTGATTAATTTTTTTTCTTGTTGTCCATTTTTTTTTCCCTGAATCCGAGCAGAAAATTAAACACGCTACATATTTTATTTTTTCAAAAAAAAAAAGAATCGAAATTAAATTCAACTAAAGAGAGGAGGAACAGATTTGATTAATTTTTTTTTTGAAAACAATTTTTTTACAAAAACAAAAAATGACGCCATTTTTTTCAAAAAAAAAAAAAAAATATTCAAAAATTTTATCAAATCGTATTGCCATCTTGTGAATTTAAACGCAAACTATTTTCAAGTTATCCATTATTTCGTTTTACCATCAATAGATGGCTGTTTCGTCAACAAGATTTTTTTTTTCAAAAATGATGGTTTCTTTTAATCCATGCATTCATCAAGTTTGACTCGTTGTTTTCCAGAATTTTATAGAATACCGTAGAAAAACCAAAATGAAAACCATATTTATATAAATTATTTAAAGTAGATTTATTCGGTGATTTATAATCAATAATAATAATAATAATAATAATAATATGAAGAAAAAGACAAGAAAAAAAATGTAAAATTTCAGTGAAAATAGACAATAATAATAATAATAATCGTTCGTAAACAGAATGAGAATCAGAGACAAATGAAAAAAAAGAATGACAATAAATAAGCAAAATTGCAATGAATGAATGAATGAATAAAATCATATATTTTATAAGAATGTTGTTTGTGTTTAAGTGGGTATATGTCAAACAAACAAACAAACGATTTAAAAAAAAAATTCCAATGTCCAAAATGCTAAAACAATTTATTTACAAAAAAAATAAATGCTGATGATGATGATGATGAGCGTGCCATGAATTAGAATTTTTTTTTTTTTTTTGAATTTCTTAAGGCGGTGTTTTGTTGTTGTTGTTGTTGTTATAGTAGTTTGGGATATAAGATTGATAAGTTTGAGTATGTATTTTGGTGTTTGTTTTCAAATATTTTTTTTTCCATTATTAATATTTTGTTTTTGTTTTTTTTTTTTGGTGTTGATTAGAAGGAACGAGACCATTAATAGAAGAAGAAGAAAAAAAAAGTTGAGGTGCAAAAAAGAATCTTTTATGCTATTCCAATAAAACTTTGTAATTGTTGATGAATTGGCTGCTTTTGTAATTGCTGTTTTTGTAGATATGGTGCAACATTTTCATTCAAATATTTTTTACAAAAATTTATTTGCTTTTCAAATAATTTAATCTGTTCAGCTAATTGTTTATTTTCACTTTCATATCGTTCAATACAGGATTCCATTAATTTTTGTTTTTCACGTTTAGACATTCGTTGTTTTTTCGTTCCATTTGTTGTTGATTGATGTAAACCAACAACAAAATTATTTGCACCTCTTTTACGTCCATGTGATTGTTGTTGTTGTTGTTGTGGTTGATGTACGTTATTATGGTTTATCGTCGATGATGTTGATGGTATTGATAACGTCGTTGTTAATGAATTTGAATTATTGGGAATAATATTTGTATTGTTGTTGTTGTTGGTATTTAATGGCGTTGATGACATATAATAATAATTAGCTGTTGAACCATTATTATTCGTATTATTACTAGTTACAGGTGTTAAATTATAAATAATTTGATTTGATGATAGATCAGTTGTTGTTGTTGTATTTTGTTGTTGATGATGACAATTATCAGGTAAAAATGTTGCCGAAACAATTGTTTCATCAACAACTGTTGGTACAATTGATTGATATTGTTGTTGTTGTTGTGATTGTTGTATTAATATTGTTTGACTATCAATAGGTTCTTGTTTAATATTTATAACATTATCTAATGTTGCAAATGTTTTTGGTTGTGATTGACATGAATCCAATGAATAATTGGATGAGATCGAACATGCTGGTGAATTTGCTGTATAATATTGTTGTGTTGTTGATGTATTTGGATTGATTATTTGGGTATTTGTCGCTGCTGCTGCTGTTGTTGTCGTTGTTGTTGTTGTTGCTGATTGTGATTGATCACTTAAATAATCAACCAATGATGACATTTCATCAAATTCATCTTTAATTATAATTGGTTGAGCCGTTTCAAGATTTTGATAGGCTATTGTTGTTGATGAATTACTATTATTACTATTCGATGATGATGAATCTGAATATTGTTGTTGTGAATAATTATAATCCGTATGTGGACAAACTTTATTTGGTGATACTGGTGCCATTTCAGGTGAACTCATATTTTCTAAATTTATTTCTGAACTTTCTAATAATGGTGAATAGGATTTACGTTCATAATAATTTTGTTGTTGTTGTTGTTGATGATTAGATAATGGTGAATCAATATAGCCATATGATGATGATAATAATGATGATGAGTTGCCATTTGACATTAATATTGTTTGATTATTATTATTAATCAATGATGATGATGATGATGATGATGGTGATGATGAATTCAAAATCATTGGATTCATATTTGTTGTTGTTGTTGATGTTGTTATTTGACCATCCAATTGTGAATAAACATCGGTAAATATTTGATGATCATTATTATAAGTTTTTTCCGATTGAAATGTTGGATGAAATGAATCCAACATATCAACAATATCCGGTGTATTTAATGTATTACCAATAAAATCATTATTACCATCTTCATACATGATTGATGTTTGTAAATATGGAAAATGTGTATTTGTAGCCATTATTAATAAATTTTTTTACTGATGATCAACAAGTTTATCGATAATAAATTAATTAATTGTTTTCACTTTGGGAAAAAAACAAAAGTGATTTTTTTAGAAAAATCTTGTTATTCAAACAAAATCAAAAACGAAAACTGTTCACTGAATTTAAAATTGTCAATATTTTTAAATGATGGAAAAAATTCGTTGATTTTTTTTTCTTGTTGTTATTGGAAAAAATGATTAAAAATAAAACATCATCAGATTTGAATAAACAAAACAATTTATATATTTGAATGAAATGGATCACTATTTTTTATTTGAATTAATATTTTGGTTTTAAAATTTGTTTATCGGAAATCAAAAAATTGAATTGAATCAAATTGTGGATTGGATTGATGTACACACACACGTTTTGACAGGAAAAAAATTTTGTGCTGTTACTTATATATGCTCTGTGTATTTTTTTTATTTCGTTTTCCCAATATATGTGTTATGTATATGTATGGCGCCAGGTTTTTTTTTCTTTGAATCAATGGAAGTTAATGTTATTTTGTTGTTGTTGTTGTTGTATAGTGAGAGAGAGAAAATATGCTTGTGATACACACACACAGAGGAAAGTATATATTTAATAGGAAGGATCTTCTCACTCCAGCTCTCTCCCTATACAAAAGTAGTATTTTTTTTTTTTATTAATCGTAAAAATTTTCTAGTATAGTGTATGTCTGCATGTTGTTTTTTTTTCATCATCTTGAATTACAATGACATCATCGATATCCAATGAATGAATTGTAATGATATCATTATATTTTCCAAAAAAAAAACATTAAAAAAATCCGGTTAACGCAGTCTCGACAAAGAATGTATTATTTTTTTCCCCCACCCCATCCCCAAATTAAAAAAATGTACATGTATAATGTGTGTTGTATTTGTGTACTTTCCGTACCACTAGTAAACAATTGATGTGATCATTATATCTCTATCTCTTTTTACTTGTTTTTCTTGTTACTGATGATGATAAGAATGATGGATAATGATGGATAGAATCCAGTAAAAAAAACAAAATAATATAACGTTGGGTTGTTTGTTGTTGAATATAGCCATTCCTATTTTTTTTTTTTTTTTTTTTTTTTGGTCATATGAATCTCATTCAAAATTAAATTGATGGCGCCGACTATGTTTTTTTTTTTGGCTGTTGGCTACTATGACAACCAAATCGTATTGTATTGTGTTTTTTCGTTGATAAATAGTTATGGATCATTTTGGATTGTTGTTGTTGTTGTTGATGATGATCATCGTTTTCGTTTTAAAGCATGGAAGGGTATATATAGTTAGTAACAATCCGCATAGGAAAAATTGGCCGGGGGAAGGAAATAAATGTAACAAAATTTTATGTTTCATTGCAAATGTCAGACCCTAGTGAATAAAAAAACCCAACGAAATAAAACAAAAAATGAATGAATAAAAAGTTAGTTTTCCCACATTACGGCTACCAACTACAAACATCTGCAATGAAGAAATTAAATGTCAAAAAAACAAAAACAAAAATGATGTATATTTTCTGGATCAATGAGTGGGATGATTTTTTTTCCATTCAAAACAAAACAAGACAAAACTAAACATAAAAAACACTTAGAATCACACACACACACATAATAAAAATGATGATATCTTGCAATTATTGGAATTTGAAAAACATCTCATGTTGTTGTTGTTTATTGATCGACATTCTAAAAATATAAAAAAAAAAACTTTTTAGAAAATACATCCATGATTCTTAGATGATGATGATGATGATAAAAAACAACAGCATCATGTTTTTTTTGTGTTTGTTGTTGTTGTTGTTGTTGTACATGGATTTTCTTCCAAAATTAGAAATTTGCCATAGTTCCTCACTTCTAAAGAATTTGAAAAAGAAAAACAATTTTTTTGTTTTGTTTTTTGTAAACGTAAATTTGGCAATGATACAAAATTCATTATTCGTTAATTTCGTTAATTTAATTCAATTTTTTTTTTTGTTGTTGTTGTTTGAAGTTTTTTTTGTTTCAATTAATTATAATCATAATCTTTAATCTTTGATTTTCCATTACATCATGATATTTAAAAAATGAGATTTTGTTTTTTCCTGACACAATTTAATGCCTGCCAAAAACGAAAACAAAAGCAAAAAACAAATTTCATTAACAAACAAAAAATGTTAATAATCAAACAAACAAACAATCAAAATCGGAAATAATGTCAAAAGTAGATAATGATGATAGATGCAATTAAAAAAAACCGTTTAAAACCATTGCAACCGGAACAATGAATGAATGTCATCATACTCATCATCATCATCATCATCGATGATCAATCTCAATTATATGAATGATTTTGATGATGATGAAATTAAGAAATTGTAAAACATGAATGAATAAAATCAAATAATAAAGAAACAAAAAAACAAAAATAAATAAATTAGTCATTCAAAATAAGTATCGATTTCATTGTCAGAAACACTCATAATATTTTTATCTGGATCATCATTTGTAAGAGAGAGTGAGTGAGTGAGATATTTGAGAGGAAGAGGGGAAAACACTTTTGTCAATCATACAATTTTCACATCACAGCAACCTTTTCATTGATTAATATATTATGGAATGTTTGTACTTTGTGTATGCATATTTTGTAAATTAAAAATATCATAAAATAAGATAAGATTTAAAAAAAAGAAAAAAGAAAACTACATATATTCAAATCACGAGATTAGAGGTTTTCATTGCTTCTGATCTCTATATTGTCTTATCAGTGTTTGTGTTGGTGATTTTAAAACAAAAAAAAAAGCTATTCTAATTATCAATTTTTGATGATTTGTCAAGAAAAAATTTGACTTATTCCAAAAAAAAAAAAAAATGAAAAACATCCGGATATAATCCAGGAATAATTCAATGAAAAGCCTTCAAAATCGGGAATTGACATTTGATGATTTGAATGAATATTTTTCTCATTTCTATAATGTACCTTGATGGAGTTTTTCTTCTTACTTATTTGATGATCACATCATCATTGAAACAAACGAAAAAAAATTGAATGAAATAAAACATAACAAAAGTGATATTTTTTGTATGTATAATAGTGTGGGAAAATGATAGATAAATTGAAGAAAAAATAATGAAATTTGTATGACATCATTGTAAGTAAGCAGAAAATGAAAAAAAATCCTCATCATTATCAAAAACAATAATAATGATGATCCATGAATAATAATACTAATGAAAATATATGTGCATTAACAAAGTAAGAAATCAAATGTGAGAAAGAGCTTCAAAAGAAGAAGAAGAAAATGAAAAAAACCGAATTTAAAAAATATTACGAAACACGCAATCATCGTTATTTAAAGATGTTTGTTGTTGTTTGCTTATGAATGATGATGATGGGTGTTATTTGCTATTTGTTTTTTTTAATAAAATATTTTTCTCTTTCTTTACAATTTCCAAATTACAAAAATAATTTTTTATTTGTTTCTTGCTTCCTAAATCGAATCAGTAAAACAAAAAAACAAACAGAGAAGCAAGAGCATAGAATCTATCTTTTGATAATAAAGATCAATTCCTAGTTTTTGTTTGGAGAGCATATTTTTCATTTTTTACAGTGTGATTGAATGAATGAAAAACAAAAAAAAAATAGATTACGTCATTAGAATTATTATTATGTTCTCATTTTAGGTTATTGTTTGTTTCGATAAATGTGAAGCAACAACAACAAAAAAATCATATTTTTTCTCCAAAAATATGATTTCCTCGATATTTTTCGTTGTTGTTGAATGATGATTATCACGTGATAGATTTGCACGAAATATTGAATGTGAATGTCAATTTTTTCTGTTGTTTGTTCCTGTAATGTAATGATGATCTTGAAACCAGATGCCCAAATGTAGTTGATTGTTGACTATGCTTTCAATAAGATCAGAATTTTGTTTTTTTTTTGTAAAATACATATTTATTGGAGATATATTTTGATCTATTTGATCAATTGGCGCCAATTGATAATGTCAAAAAAAACTAAACAATATTAAACATATAAACATCTTGTCTAAAATTTTTTTTTTTGATTGATATTAATATGACGCCGTCTTCTTATAGTCGTCGTCGTCGTCTTCGTAGTCGACAACTTGTCAAATACACAAAGCACACACACTTTATAAGATCAAAATCATTTGATAATAACAAAAAAAGGCTAAAGGCGTTAGCCCTTTCCGATTTTTTTTCTTTTTACCTAATACAATAAAATAGTTGGTTGAACCATGATAAATGCTAGATATTGAAGTGTAATATGGAATCATTGTGATTATAAACTGTTTATAAACTATATAAAGTGTATAGTTTATATTTTGATAATAATGTTTTCTGATGTTATCTGACAAACACAAAAAAAAATTATTATTGTCGATTAGAATCAAATAGAATCAATAGATTCTTTCGTCGTCGTTTTAATCCTATTTTCAATAATAATTTTATTGATTGATGTTTCTAAAACAACCACCATAATAATCATCATCTGCCTCAATACTTTTTGAATTTTCTTTTTCTAGAAAAAAAAATATCCTTTTATGGTTATGGTTATTCAACATCATCATCGTTCGTACGCATTACACAAAAACAACACCAGACGATGACGATCAACCAGCCAGCCAGCCAGCAAGACAACAAAAAAAAAGAATAAGTAAAACCAGAAAACCAGATACAGCTTCAAAAAATGAAAATTTTTTCAATTCAATATAGCGTGTTTATATGAGTGGGTGAATGGGTGTATGTTTTTTTTGTTGTTGTTTGAAATTCAGAGAATTGAAAAAAGAATCATTGTTGTTGTTTTATGGTTTTTTTTATCAACCAAAATGATGAGAATCATCATTCGAATATCGTCATTTTTTTCGGACAATATTTACTTATAAAACTTTTTGATTGATAAAAAAACAACAACAAAAAAAAGATAAAAATAGGTTTTGCAGAATCGTTATCATCAAAATATTGATCAAATAAAAGAAAAACAAACAAACAAACAATAAAGATGATGATAATAAATATTTTGATGGTCGTTGATCGCACAAAATAAAAAATATTGATCATGTGCCGCTGTGTGTTATTTTTATTTGACAA